GTGTGCGTGTGTGTGTGTGCGTGTGTGTGTGTGCGTGTGTGCGTGTGTGTGTGCGTGTGTGTGCGTGTGTGTGCGCGTGTGTGTGTGTGCGTGTGTGTGTGTGTGTGTGTGTGTGTGTGCGCTTGAATTCAGGACGTTTGCATTCTAACTTGGCCTTTTTTCTCACAGCTAGCATTCTACACTTGAACCACACCTGCTCTTCTGGTCCTGGGGCCCTGGACACTGGCCCTGAACTCTTTTGAATAAAGCTAGTGCTCTACCACTTTGAGCCACAGGTTTTCTGATGGTTAACTGCAAAGTCTCACAGACTTTCCTGCCTGGGCTGGCTTTGAACCATGATCCTCAGATCTCAGTCTCCTAAACCGCTAGGATTTACTGGCATGAGCCCCTGGCACCTGGCCTTGCTTGGCATTCTTGCTTAACAGCTAGCACTCTACCACTTGAGCCAATCCTCTAACCAAGTTTTTTTTTTTTTTTCTTTAGTATTTAATCGCAGATGGAGTCTCATGAACTTGTCTGCCTGGACTGGCTTTGAATTGAGATTCTCCATGTCTGAGCTTCCTGAGTAGCTAGGATTACAGATGTGAGCCGCTGGTGTCTGACTTGGAGTTTCTTGAAGACAGGACTATTATTTAGCCTTTTTTTTTTTTTTTCCAACCGGAGGCCAGTGCAAGAGAGACAGAAGGGGAAGACATGTTAAAACTGATAACCCCCACTCTTTCCTGGTCTCTGAACTAAGCCTTTCTACATGTTACGTTATTCAACCCTTACAGCCAGATGTGAGACAGGCTCTGTTCCCATTTTGCAGATGGGAATGAGTGCAGAGGCTTGAAAGGCCCAGGGTATAATAACTGTTAAGTGATGATTCCTGATCTGTCCTGTGCCAAATCTTTTGCTGTCAATGATGAAAAAGGGGTATTGGGTTGTGTCTCAGAGAGATAGTTCTACCTGCAGATTCTTTTGTGTGTACTGACTTCTCCCTTGCCAGGGTTTACAGTACTTGGAGTTCACATGAGCAAAGGGGCTCAGGAGAGAGCCTTGTGTGTGTGTGTGTGTGTGTGTGTGTGTGTGTGTATGTGGGTGTCAGTGGTAGGGTTTGAGCTCTTTTGCTTAAGGCTAGTGCTCTACCAATTTGAACTACAGTGCCACTTCCATTTTTCTGGTGGTTAATTGAAGGTAAGAGTCTCACAGACTTTCCTGCCAGGGGTGGCTTTGAACTGTGATCCTCAGATCTCAGCCTCCTGAATAGCTAAGATTACAGGCATGAGCCCTGGTGCCTGGCTGAGAGGGCCTTTTTGTGCTTGCAGCAATCTTGTGGCTACACTTCGTTTTCATAGGAAGCAGCATTAAACACTTTTTTAATTAAGTTTTTTTTTAATTGTGAAAATACTGTACAAAGGGGTTACAGTTACATGAGCAAGGTAATGAGTACATTTCTTATCCAGCATTGTTGCCTCCTTTGTTTTTCCCCTACCATCCCTTTCCTCCCTCCTCCTCAGCTATCTCCCCTCTCCCCCACAGCAGTATTTTTGATTGGCCTCTTCTAAAACTAAGCCACAATTTGTTAGGGGCCCTGGAGGATTAGATCAGGCGTTTCAGGACAGCGATTTGCCTGTCCATAGCACAGGAAATTAATCAGAACCCCAAAGCCCTTCTCTTCTTCCCATAGGCTGGCTGCTTTGCTGCAGTTCTCTTGAAGGCCAGCAGAGATGCCAAGGGCAGCTCAACACAGATCCATCTCTGGGTAAGGAATGAGAGGAGGAGGGCATGTGGCAGAAATGGGTCAACTTTGCCGCAAAGAACTTGCAGGCAGAACCCACAGCTGTCTTCAACTTGGAGAGGTGCAGCATGACAGAGAATGCCCTGGGGCCTTGGACTTCACTGCAGAATCCACCTGGGGTCTGGAGCCTGGAGTGCTGGTTCTTGTTTCAATGGTAATGCTTTCTTTGCAGGGCCATTCTCAGGCCTCTTCCTGAGGTCCTTAATGTTTGCCACTGTGAAATAACTGGGAGGATTATCACGGGATTATTGTGTGGTGTTAGGAGCAGGAAATATGTACGGCAGGACAATGTTGAAGATAAGAATGACAACCACATTGCTTGTGAAATGCTGGGCCTGGTGCTTTCTATACAATAGTACATGTAATTTTGAAACAAACACTACAAGGACCATATTATTATCCAAGTTTTATAGATGAGAGACTGAGGCACAAGGAAAATTAGTAGGAAGTAGAACATGAGTCTTTTGACATCAGAATTTGAGCTCTACAATGGGTACATTCTGCCCACCAGAAAGTGCTAGGAGCATTTGTGTGTGTGTGTGTGTGTGTGTGTGTGTGTGTGTGACTTGAACTCAGATCCTTTTTGTTCTAATCCAGCGTTGTCCTTTAAGATTAGTGTTCTTATCACTTGAGCCATCTCCAGTTCTAGCTTTGTGCTGGTGATTTGGAAATAAGAGTATCCATATTTTTCTGCCTAGCTGACTTTTTTGGGGGGATGGGGTGGGGTGGTGTGGGATGGATGAGAAGCAATCCTGAGGCTTGCACTCAGGATCTGAGCATTATCTCTGAGCTTTTTTTGGTCAAGACTAGCCATAGCTCCACCTCTGGCTTTCTTGGTGCCAAAGCATCTCATGGACTTTTCTTTGTGGGCTGGCTTAAACAGAAATCCTCAGATCTCAGCCTCCTGAGTAGTTAGTATTATAGGAGTAAGCCACTGGTGCCAGCTCTTTAAAAAAATTCAATCTTTTTATTATTATAAAGGTGACGTACAGAGGGTTTACAGTTACATAAGTTTTTTTTTTAAGTTAAAAAACCCCGACAACATATGGTCTTACTATGTAGGCCAGACTGGCCTAGAACTCACTATGTAACCAACTGGATAGCCTGGAAATCCAGCTTCCTCTGGCTCCACTCTCTTGAGTGCTGGGAGTACAGGTGCGCATCACCATGTCAGGCTGGAGGTCATCTTGATGCAAGTTGTAATATGTCTAATGGGAGTTTGACTCAGTGCCCCTGGGCATTGAGAGCAGAGAGGTTGGCTTCTGGCTAAGAGGCCTGGTGCATGGAGATGTGAGAGCAAGGGAATAGCATGAGCCAAAGGGGCAGATGTGGGAAAACAGTGGGTGTGCTGAGGAAAAGTTTGGATAAACTTTAGAGCATGTGTATAGGAAGGTAGGAAGTGATCATACCAGGCCAGGGCTTTGGCCTTTGTTCCATAGGCAATAAAGAGCTTGCACAAGAGATGTCTCAAGAGACCAACCATGCTGCTGCAGTCGGAGAGGAAGCAGCCCTTAGCCCATCTGTGTCCCGGCTTGTGGATGCTGCTGGATGCCAGTGCGTGGGAGGGCATCCGCAGGGAAAGTGTGTCTCTGACTGGCTTGTACTATTGGGTGTGGGTCTTTTGCTCTGGTTCCCTTCAAAGCCTTTCTCTTTCTCCTTATTGAGCCTTAATTTAAAGGCCCATAGCAAGCATGTCATAAATCACTGGTGGTGGGGGGACTTTTGAGATCATCTGAGATCATTGCACTTTAATTTTTAAAGAAAGTGAAAATAGGAACATAGTTGGGAAGGGTCTTTCCTAAGATCACATGATAAATTAATAGAAGGGCTAAGGACTGGAACTCATGTCTTCTGAGTCCAAGTCAAGAATTCCTTATACACATTTGTGGAGTGATTACTCCTACCACGTTCTGGGCTAAGTGCTTTCTATGGATGAGTGCATTTAATCCTCACAACCCCTCTGAGAGTGCCCCTGGTGAATTCAGGAAGTTTTGCCTTCTTTGATTTCCCACAGAGCCTGGCCTAGGCCTTGGGTCTCTAGCTGGGGGGGGGGTGGGAGCAATGAAAACTTGAGTTCAGTCAGGCGCTGGTGACTCACGCCTGTAATCCTAGGTACTCAGGAGGCTGAGATCTGAGGATCGCGGTTCAAAGCCAGACAGGGCAGGAATGTCCATGAGACTCATCGCCAATAAACTACCAGAAAACCGAAAGTGGAGCTGTGGCTCAGGTGGTAGAGCACTTGCCTTGAGCTGAAGAGCTCTGGGATAGTGACCAGACCCCGAGTTCAAGCCCCTCGATCAACAAACAAACAAACAAACAAAAAACAAAACTCCGACGAGTTCAAACCTTGGGCCTGAGATGGGCGGAGAAAAGATAGAAGGGGCGGGCTGGACATTCAGCCCCGCCCACTAAAGCAAACCCCGCCTTTCGGAACGCTGACGCAACATTAGCCCCGCCCCTCATTGTCAGTCCCGGGGAGCCGGAGGAGGCGCCGGCCGCTGGGAGCCGAGCGCCGGAGCCTGAGGCGGCCGGAGCGCAGGCTGAAGCCGCCACGGTGAGGGGCGAGGGGGGTCGGCGAGGGGACGGCCGGGGC